ACTACTACTACTACTACTACTACTACTAGGACGACTACTACTACTACTACTACTACTACTACTACTACTACTGCTACTGCTACTGCTACTGCACGGCTACTGCTACTACTACTACTACTACTACTACTACTAACTACTACTACTACTACTACTACTACTACTACTACTACTACTACTACTACTACTACTACTACTACTACTACTACTACTACTACTACTACTACTACTGCTACTACTACTACTGCTACGACTACTACGACGACTACTACTAATACTACTACGACTACTGCGACTACTACAAATTAAAAACACTACTAATACTTCTACTCATTCTATTACAACTACCTACGACTACTACTACTACTCCTACTACTATTGCTGCGACGACAACGACTAACTACTACTACTATCATTATTACTACTACTACTACTACGACGACGACGACTACGACTACTACTACTACTACTACTACTACTACTACTACTACTACTACTACTACTACGACTACTACTACTACTACTACTACTACTACTACTGCTACTACTACTACTACTACTACTACTACGACTACTACTACTACTACTACTACTACTACTACTACTTTTCACTACCACTACTACAACCACATTTACTACTACTACTACTAATAATAATAACAACAATAATAATAATACTACTACTATTACTACTACTACTCCTTCTAGTCCTCCTCGTCCTCGTCCTCCTTCTCCTCCTCCACCTGTTCTCTCTGCCTCCTCCTCCTCCCTCCTCCTCCTCGTCCTCGTCCTTCTCCTCCTCCTCATCCCTCTTCCCTCCTCCTCCTCCTCCTCCTTCTCTTCATCCTGCTCTTCCACCCTTTGTCCTTATAACAAGATCCTCCCCGTCACACCCCCAGACGGGTCGGTAGGACGGACCGGGCGTTTTGCCTGATGAAACTTCCTTACCACGTACGATCCCGAAGCTTGGAATATGCAAAATTCCACGGATGGAATGCAGATGGCTTTCAAAATGTGCCCTTAGCCTGAGCGCTGCGCACATTCGTCTTAAAAGTTCGCAACCGTTTCACGGATGGAGGGCGGGACGTTTTCAAAATACGGCTTTCCACTTAGCGCCACGCATATGCATCTTAAGATTCAAAGATTGAGGGCGGTTCCTTTTCTAAATGTTGCCCCCGCCTTAGCGCCGCGCACATTCTTCTTGAAAGTTTGCAACCGTTTGACGGAATCGTATAGTTTGAAGTCCAAGGAAAGGCGTTCTGGCCCGATTCAGGATTGTCACGGCGCAACAGTCACGTTGATTTGCGATGTTGAAGTCCCAGAAATGGTGTTCTGATGCGATGAAGGACTGTCAGGACGCACCAATTCTTCTGATCCGCGGCACCGGAATCCCAGGAATTATGTTATGGCACGGTTGAAGATTCTCGGACGATTGTCTTCCTATGGGGCACTTCCCGCAATGAAAATGACCTCTTATGGGGACCTGTGAAGAGGGAACTTCGAGGGGGGGTGTTTTGCAACATCGTTGACGTGTCTTGGGTTTACACTGGTCCTCCTCCTCCTCCTCCTCCTCCTCCCCACCCTCCTCCTCCTCCTCCTCCTCCTCCTCCTCCTCCTCCTCCTCCTCCTCCTCCCCACCCTCCTCCTCCTCCTCGTCCTCCTCGTCCTCCTTCTCCTCCTCCGCTCGCCTCCTCCTCCCTCCTCCTCTCCTCCTCTCGCTTCTGGCTCCCTCCTCCTGCCTGAACACCGTCGCTGCCCCCCGCACCACGCGCCACACTCCGCCCCGGCCTCCTGCCGCCCTCCCCCCGCCGCTGAGGCGCCCCGATCGTGAACTCGGGCCCGGCGAGCTGCCGCACGGGGGAGGGGGGCAACGGCGGCGCGAGGAGGAGGAGGAGGAGGAGGAGGACAACAGGGAGGAGGAGGAGGAGCAGGAGCAGGAGCAGGAGGAGGATAAGGAGGAGGATAAGGAGGAGGAGGAGGATAAGGAGGAGGATAAGGAGGAGGAGGGGGATAAGGAGGAGGAGGAGGAGGAGGAGGAGCAGGACCACCACCATGCCTGACCAGGGCAACCCTGGGCCCTGGCATGGTGCATATACCCTCCTGGTCGAGGCCAGGAGGATCTTCACACCATCATAGGGCCCTGGAGGAAGCAATACAGTACCCATCGGTCGGAAGAAGTAGGTAGGAACATGAAGTAGGAAGGCGTTGAAAGTAGATTGGGTTCCGTCCGCCCCCTAAGGAGGACGGAAAATGTGAAGCCACTCGATCATTGAAGTAAGAAGGCGCTTAAAGTAGATTGGAATCTGGGAATCCAAGAATACCTCCTTTCAACGACCGATGGGTAATGACCCTGGCTAGCCATGGAGAAAGCAATACAATCGGACCTAGGCCAGAAGAACACCCATCAAGAGCACCAGACCCTCCATCGGCCAAAACCAACAGAACATCGAAGGGTACCCTTCCCAGGGTGCACAAGAACATCCAACTAGCATGAAGAACAACGGGCACCCTCCCCGAACCGACCTCGATCTTATACCTCGGTCCGACTGTAATGCCCCGCCCGCGACCGCGCGCCGCCGATTCTGGCTACGACCCGCTGTCGAGGCTTGATGAGGGTGGGCAGATTTCCCTCCTGAGGTATGCGCGTGTATAGATGTGCATACATACATACATACATACATACATACATACATACATACATACACATACATACATACTTACATACATACATACATACATACATACATACATACATATATACATACATACATACATACATACATACATGCATGCATGCATGCATGCATGCATGCATGCATACATACATGTATACGTACGTACATACATACATACATACATACATGCATACATACGTACATACATACATACATGCATGCATACATACGTACATACATATACACATACGTACACACACATGCATGCATGCATACATAAACATATGCATGCACGCATACAACCACACATTCAGACATACATACATATATACATACATACGTACGTACACACATACGTTTATATATCTGATATGAATATGCATACATGCATGCATGCATACATACATGCATACATACAAGTAGTCACACCTACATGTATATGTACATACACACATGCATACATGCATACATACACGCATATATACATATGTAAATATATACATACATACATGCATGCATGCATACATACATGCATACGTGTATCAGTATACATACGTGCATACGGACATGCTTACATGCGTACATACATACATACATACGTTCGGATATACTTACAGACATATATACATACATACATGCACGCATTCACATATGCATACACACACATACATACACACAGGAAAAGCCGTACATCATTACATGCATGCATGCATACATGAATGGATACGTACGCACACACCTACATATCTATATATATATATATGTACAAGTGTGCATAGTTGTAGACATACATGCATATATACACACAAACAAACACGAATACACACATACGTACGTATACGTACACGTACATACATACAATCATTCACCCGTACATATAGACATGCATACATACGTAGAATCATCCCTACATACACACCTACATACGTAAATCCAAACAAACATAGATCAGTTGATGTTTACATACATACATACGTGCATGCGCATGTACATACCTACATATACACACGTATATACATTACACGCATACATGCAAGCATACATACATGCATGCAGGCATGCATACATACATGCATGCATCCATACATGAGTGAATGTACGCGTACACCGATGAAGCTGTATATACACACATCCACACATACATACATACATGCATCCAAGCATACAGTCATACAGTTGGCAATGATTGGTAGTCCCCAGCGGTGGCATCACAAGAACTGTGCTGCATGTCGACAGCGGTTGAATTATGATTAAACGGGGGAATAGCTTGAATTGACGCTAGTACGCAGCGGAACAAAAAATCCGCCGACCCTGTCGGCGTGTGTGAGGGGCTTCTCCGTTCGACTCGTCGTCTCCGTCGTCTCCGTTCTCCCCCTCCCAGGGCTCTCCTCCTCAAGCGCGCTACCCAAAGCGAAATTAAACGACGTCGTAGTGGAGTCGAAGGGAAGCCCCTTCCCTTTGATCCCTTCCCCGCAGGGGGAGGGGGGGGGGGGCTGGGGCAGATACGACGCCCGCCGGGGCGCACTTTCCTCGAGCGGGCACGCACGGGATGCACTTCCTCCTCCTCCTGGTCCTCCTCCTCCTCCACCTCCTCCTTTTCCTCCTCCTCCTCCTCCTCCTCCTGCTCCTCTCCTCCTTCTCCTCCTCCTCCTCCTCCTCCTCCTCCTCCTCCTCCTCCTCCTCCCGCAGAGGCGTCCCGGGAGCGGGCCCCGAGTCAAAATACCACCCCCCTAGGGCGCATTTTCCTCGAGCGGGCACGCCCGAGATGCACTTCTTCCTCTTCCAGGAGCACGTCCCAAGTCAGAATATCACACTCAAGGGGCGCACTTTCTTCGAGCGGGCACACAAAGGATGCACTTCCTCCTCCTCCTCCTCCTCCTCCTCCTCCTCCTCCTCCTCCTCCTCCTCTTCCTCCTCCTCCTCCTCCTCCTCCTCCTCCTCCTTCTCCTCCTCCTCCTCCTCCTCCTCCTCCTCCTCCTCTTCCTGCTCCTCCTCCTTCTCCTCCTCCTCCTCCTCCTTCTCCTCCTCCTCCTCCTCTTCCTGCTCCTCCTCCTCCTTCTCCTCCTCCTCCTCCTCATCCTCCGCTTCCTCCCCCCACTCCTAGCCCTTTCGATCAGGATCGGCGGCACCAGCCGTCAGGCCTCTCCAATCAAGCTGAAGACAGAGGGCAGCGCGATGGCGGAGAGCACATACGGGCTAGCCAAGCCGTTCTGGACAGACTTCGGCATGCCGACTATGAAGTAAAGGCAGCAGATGAGCGTTACGACAAAACTGACATTTCAGTATAACCTACTCGGCTGCAGGTCGGAAGTGCTCACACAATGTGCAACTTAAAACGCAAGACTGAAAGCTGAATGTACAGTGGCAGGACAGCCAGCCTGCACTGGGAGAGAGCCGAACTACGAAGTGCCTAGAAAGCTGCGCAGTGGGATCCCAGCCGAGCATGTGCACGCCTGCGGTCACGAATCGAACGAAGTCTTCGAGACCTGATCCGGCTTTCGCTGAAGCGAGATAATACAGTCATCGGCCTGACCTAAGGAACGATAAAGAAGGAACGGAGCCCCTTTTCTTATCCCAATCTTATCCCAAAAAATAACGCATAAGGAACGATGAATAACAAATAACGCATGAGGAACTGTAAATAGCGCATGCACGCCTAAGGAGCGACCGAGCCCCTTTTGAAGAGTAAGTCTTCCCTATTCGAGCCGCTCACTGCACGAGCGCAAAAACCAGAGCCGCACCCGAAGTGTGCAACTGATGCAGGGGCCGCAGCCCCGCTGCGTGAGCGCGCCCCCGCGCCTGGCCCCCCTCCCGCGGCCGCCTCCTCCTCCTCCCTCCCTCCCCTTGCACGCGGGCTGCCTCGCGACCCCGCGCCCCGATGTTGACTACCTACCAAACCACCCCAACCCAACCCGAAGATCCGAATTTCGGGTTGGGGGGGGTATGGGCTCCATACGTGTTTTGTCGATGTTCCCGGACCCCCCCCCCACTGGAAATGGAGGGCAAATTCAGGCCTTCGGGTTGGGTTGGGGTGGCTTGGTGGGTGGTGAGATGTCGCTCGGACGCGCGCGCGGATCGCCTCTGCCGCGCCGCGACGGCGAGAAGTGCAGCGCAAGGCGCGGCCCTGTCCTCGTACACTGCGCGTCGCGGGCACGGAAGCCGCGGCAGGGCGCATCGGGGGCCTGCGGAGCGCCAGACGCGCAGAGGCCGACCCCGAGCCTCCGCATGGGGCAGGGCGACCCGCGCGCGGCGTGTGTCACGACATGGGCGGGGCGCCGTCAAGCGAGGTCCTCCACTGGGGCCGGGTGGAGCTGCCAATGGGGCACGATGTGCGTGAGGGACGTGCGGAAGTGGGCGGAACGACGCCGTGCGAGTTCCGCCGCGGGGGCCCCAGGTGGAGCTCTCCATGGTGCACGAGCCGCGTGAGAGGTGTGCCAAATTGGAGTGGGAAAACAGGAGGAGGAGGAGGAAGAGGAGGAGGAGGAGGAGGAGGAGAAGGAGGAGTGGGAAAACAAGAGGAGGAGGAGGAGGAGGAGGAGGAGGAGGAGGAGGAGGAGGAGGAGGAAGAGCGGAAAGGGAGGACGGAGGGGAAGAGGGGAGGGAAGCGGTGGAAGGCGTGCGCGCGCCGCTGCGGACTCCAAACGAGGACACATCTCTCCACAGGAGGCGCGGGGAACTTTGTGGGCCCTGGAAACGGCCCGACCCGGCCCACGCGGACCGCAGGTCAAGGGCCCCTGGACGCCCGGTGCCGGGCCGCAGCCGGCCGTGGTCTCAGGACTCCCTGTGCAAGGAGGCGGGGGCCTGCAACGCCGTCGGCCTCGAACGGCCGAACGTCTCGAACGCAAAATGGGACCATAGACTCGCCGAATCGCATCCGCCCTTTCCGGGCCCCGGAAACGGCAGGACCGTTTTTTCACCGTTTCAAAAAAAAATGTCCCTTGAGAATAAAAACGGCAAAGATAACTGCGACCGGAAACGGCAAAAAAACGGCTCCAGGATTGGAACCGGAAACGGAACCGGTCAAAAAACGGCGACGGAACCGGTAAAAAAACGGCGTTGGAACCGGCAAAAAAACGGCAAAACGGAACGGGTAAAAAAACGGCCCTGTCGTTTCCAGGGCCCACTAAGGTGGGGAAAACAGCCCAAAACCTCCATCCTCGATGCAGGCTTGACCCCCCTTTCTGGGCGAAGCCTCACCGACCCCCCCCTTCCGCGACGAGCCCCTTCCGTGGCGAGCGCCTCACCCTTGAGGCTCCCATCTGGCGCCGCCGGCCATCGTCTTGTAGCCAGGCGAGGGGGCCGTCACCGAAGAGGTCGGCTTGCCATCGGTAGGTCGGACCTGCCCTGAACCCTGGACGCCTCCCCCCCGCCCGCGGAGGGGAGGCCTGGCGGGGGCTGCTGTACTGGCCCGGCCCAGGCCCGACATCCGCCAGCCTCTCCGTCAGCTCGGTCCTCTGCGAGAGCGGCTCCAATTCCCCCTCTCCCTCCTCCGCCTCCTCCGCCTCCTCCTCCTCCTCCTCCTCCTCCTCCTCCTCCTTCTCTTCCTCCTCCTCCTCGTCCTCCTCCTCCTCCTCCTCTTCTTCCTCCTCCTCCTCTTCCTTCGTATTATGTTTATTGTTCGTCTTCGTCTGATTCGCACAAGTATTATTAGTAGTAGTAGTCGCATTCTTAATAGCATTATAATTCCTATGCTTAATATTAGCATTATTAAGTGTTACTAATAATATTCTTAATATGATTTGTATTAACCTTACCTTTTATTATGATGGTTACTATTAGGCATGTTATGAACACCGTCTTCTTCAGATGATCATCAATCGCATTCGTA